GATGACTGCAGCCCAGCACAGTAGCTACAATGGTATTACATTTCTTTAGAGTTGCTGGCTCCCAGGGGTTGAACTCTGTTTTGGCTTGTGCATTACATGAATCTGGAAGAAGCTGTTAACAACAGTTTGCTTCAGATTCACTCTTCAATTGCAAGTGAAAGTTTCTTCTCTAAAACCTCTTGCTACTCATTATGCCCTCTCACGTGAATTTAGGAAGGCTAAAAATGTCTGGTGATAAATGGGAAGAGAAGTCAAGAAAAAGAAGGGCTGGGAATCAGGACACTTTTTTTTTTGTTGTTCCTTCTCACTGTGTTAAGTAAGCACTGGTGTCTTCCTTTGGGCACATGTCCTAGTCCAAATTTGTCAAGACTGTTCATTAACCCAGGAAAACAAGGACTCTGAAAGGCAGGAATATTTAGCACCCCTGAAAAATGGGATAGAATGAGAAGAACTGCATCATGTTTGCTTTGTTTCCCTGCTTCAATAAACAAAGTATCTCTCCCATTTATTGTGCTCACTCATAAACTTGGAGAAAAATAATGCTTCTCTCTACTGAGCATGACTTACTTGTTTTGGTAGATAGGGTAATTGAAGGTTTGCAGTCCTCTAAGCCTTTTTTTTTTTAATCATTTTTACTGAAGACCAAAACAAATCCAGCTTTTTCATATACTGTTACTTCACAGGAGAGTGTTTTCTTAGAAAATGCAAACAGAAATGGAATTTAGTGGCACAAAAAGGAAAGGAAGAAAAACTTTCAGACACAACCTGGTCTTTTCAGTTTCAACTGCTCCTGTAACTGAGACACTAAGTGAAGAAAGAATGGAAAGGAAATATTCTAATTATTTTTGTTTTTAATTACATCTTCTGAGTTCTCATTCAAGAATCTTTCACTCTCATTACACCAGAGCTATGCTGCTATTCTACTGCCTAATCAGGTTAACGTACTATGGTTTTCACAGAGTGACCTTCATGACTGTGCAGCACAGAATTCTTCCTCTCTTTCATCACAATATTAAGCAGTTCTTCATCTCCTCTTTTTTTCTATATGAAATTACACGATTTCCCTCCTCCAAGCAAGAACCTTGTGCTACTTGCTGTTTAAAAAAAAAAAAAAAGCTACATTTCCATTGAGCATGCTTCCAATTTCTGGAAAGCAAGCTGCAAACATTTTCTTAAATAGTACTATTGTGAGTTATCTTCAGATCCCTAAGCAGAATGAAAGCTGTAAGCTTACAACTCCATCAGCAAGGATTCAACTGGCATGAACCCAAAAAACCCCACAGTAATAGACAGTGATCAGCAATCCCATTCTACCATGATTGTGCTAAACTCAGGTAAAAAAACCCACATTTTATACTTCATATGATGATGTCCCCAGGAATTTCTTCCAATAAAGCCAAAACTCAAAAGGAAAAATGCATAAATTCCACCTATAGCAACATTTTTAGAAAACATTCAGCTTCGGTTAGAGAGCTAACCTTCACTGGAATTTACTGGCTTCTGCTGGTTTGCATCAACACTTGCACACAGAAAAAGAAATGTTACGGATTGAAGAAAATGCAAATATTATGGCCATTTCCCAAAATTTCTGCATGTATTTCCACAAGGTAAGAAAAAAAAGCCAAACAAAAACCAAAACCTTTTCTTGAAAAGAACTTATACCTTATCAAACCCATGTTGTTTGCTCCATTTTTGTTAGTTTTATAGTAACCTCATCAAGCATATAATATTTTTCCTGATTGATAGGCATAGAATGATGGAACTGAACAATCAGAAGTTCCCTGTAGTAAATGATCAGGTCTTCAGAAGCACACAGTTCCCATCCCAGCTCTTACAAAAGTCAGTATGAATTTCAAAAGTGTTCAGTAATAGGGAGGAATTTTCAAACCTCTCTGGGTAATTTAGACACATTAGTCTCATTGAAAGTTAGTGAGCCATGTGCTGATCATACTTTTGGGTGCTTTGCAGAAAACACAAGTTATGACTGGTATCCATGGTGAAAGTTGTGGGCATTTAAAAAATTTGATCTTAAGCTGTTTCGGCTACATTCTGTTCTTAGCTACCGATGTGTAGCTTCTCCTTATGGTATATTCATCTGTCCAATGAAGCAATAGCTCCCCTTGCTCTGCTCTTTTGAAAGTCTGTCAACACAGAGCATCTGAATGCAGCTGTGCAAAGCGCTGTATATCCTGGCCTCTAGCCTCTAGGACAGTCCCAATCCTCGATGCAACTGAGCTGAGTGAAGCCCACAGCCAACAAATTCTGCTGCATCTTGTACAGAAAGGAATAATCCACACAGCTAAGTGAGTTACTGAGTAACAACAATCACTGCACTAGGATGTTAACTCTGTTACCTAACTCTAAACATAGAAAGAGCAAGACTGAAGTCTTTCCCTAGTTATTTATTATGTATTTTTCCCTATCTATGTATCCCAACAATCTAAATGCTAGAAGAGTAAAAGCTGCTAAGAATATCTTCCTCTTTACTATAGCCTCTCTGAATTAATTTTTAAAAGATTAATAAGGAGATGCATACTTTAAGGCTAATTAAGCAAAGGTTAAATAGATTCCTGAACAAGAAAGTGAACAAGAAAGAATCAGTGACCCCTTAGCACTGAAAAACATATTAGGATATCAGGAGAGAATCATTCAGCTTTGCTGCCCATTGAATCTGTCCTTAGAGCAACCGATTCAATCAGAATTACCTTCCAACAGCATTATATTGAAGTAGGAGAAGAGAAAGATAGATCTGCGTGTTATACTATGAATATGAAAAGTAAAACTGAGAAGCAAAACTGTGATTAAAATCCACCACAGGTAATCCTTTCTTAAGGCTGAAAGGAACGTAAGGTCTGCTTTCATATGAATCGCTGACTTCACGCAGGTTCAGCAACACAGAGGGTTTACCAGGAGCCAGTGGCAATAAGCGTTCATAGCCTAAAGGAAAGGAAAAGAGGTTCACCCCTCATGGCAAAGGTCAGATTTCTGCAGGCTTATAGCCTGTCTATATACATGAGTGTTCGTGGAACATCTTTGTCTAGTAAGGTCCCATGAGGATGACACAGGCTCCACAATGTCCCCTCTGCCTGGAGGATGGCCCTATAACCACCCAGATCAGTTTAGGGTCATTTGACTTGTGTCAATCTGGTTCCTGTTGCTTTTACTCTCAACCTGATGAACAATCATTGCAACCTTTGTGGGCTGTTGCTGAAGGCTGGAATTGAACAGCTCTAGTATACATAAAAACTGGATGTGTAAACAGGATATTTAACCAGTTGCTATTTTCATGGATGTGGAGAGCTATCAAATATACTCCCTTGTTAAGATACATATTGTATACTTAATTTATATATGCTTATCAGAATCACTATGTAAATGTCATAGAAAAGGTTGTGCTAATGATTATATTAGCATTTGTCTATTTACTCTGTAGATATCTTTTCAGAGAGTCATCGTGCCCTTTGTTCAATTTTGGAACTGATGCACTGCATGCCCAAATATTTGGAATAACATATAGAAAACATCTGGATTTAATTATATTATAGTCCTCTTATGCAGACAATGGGAATTGAATTAAGGAATATTTTGAAACCCCCACAGAGATATAAAAGTATTAGCAGCTGCAGGAGAACTTTACTGTTACAATGTTTGAAAATGTTTTGTTTTACAGATCAACAGTCTGACACATCATAAATATCAATCATAACATTTAAGATCTACAAACATGGAAGAAAAATTAAAACTTGCATTACAAAAACATGTAGATGAATTTAGAGAATTTAGAAGATGTTGAGTATGTCCTTTCACTTTAAAAATGAAAATGTATATTCTATTGGCACAGAAAATATATGTTGTACAGTGGTATTAAGCAGAGAACCACATAAGAGCTTACTGTGGCTGAACAGCCTGAAGAAGATTTTATAGAAACTTATATTGCCACCATATTGTACAAAAAGTAATTCAGCTAGAATAAATCAGCATTTTGCTTTTCATGCTTTCATTCCTTTGAAAATATCTGGGGATATGAGCTTTGAGTCTGCCCCGAAGTATTAGATAAAGACTGGATTTTCTTTCTGAATGTATTCTGGTTCCAAATGCCACTTCTTTTCAAGTCAGTACCAGTTTTGCAGTTAGTTTTCAATCTCCCAGTGGCTAAATCTTACTCAAAGACTGTTAGCACAGTAGGGGGTCAGACTTTCTCTCTGAATGTAACTATATCACTCAACAGCAGACTCATGCAATAAGCGATCTAATGTTTTCTTTTCTTTTCTTTTTTTTTTTTTTCTCTCCTCTTTTTAGTGTCTCCCTGCATTCCTGGATACTAGTCAGTGCACCAAGGACCCGAGGCAACAGCCACATGGACTCTACCACCATCCTTCCAGCTTTCTTCATGGTGCAGAAAAAGTCAAGACTGCAGTTCACCTGCTGTCAAGACAAAAGGTTCAGTTGCTACATCCTCTGAAACACTTAAATGAAAACGTTCTTGTACAGTATTACATATTTCTATGTGTAAAAAGCAACAAAAAAGTGTGCATGCCTGTGTATGCAACTTTGACAACCAATGACATAAGATATAATATTAATCCAAGTCCTCCTTTCCATGAATTCCCCTAAAAATGTCCTGAAAAACATTCTCTAAAGGGAGCACACCATCTGAAGGCAAATATTGTACCTACCATGCAAAACAGAAAGAACTAGAAGTAATACAGAAACAAACTAAATAATGCTATAAAAGACCCATGAAATGATGGTCTGTTTAGAAACTAAATTTATCAGGACTGAAGCTTGCACTAGCTGTTAAGTGTTGGGAAACACCAACTCCTGATACCATCTGGTCTTCACCTTGTACAGATGCAGTCAGGATCTTTCAACTTACCTATAGTATTGTCCTGAACAGGCTTTGTGGACTAAGATACATGCCTTGCTGATGATCAGCCTGGTTAAAGTAAAGGGCAGGAGAATTGCTGGGTAAGGGGCTTGAATAAACTACACTAACTCACCCGTTTTACGAAGAGGAAAATCATCCTTGGCATCCTGTGCTCCTGGTAAAGCGTATTTGTACGGTGGCGAGGCCCCGCTCAGGGGTGGAGAGCTTTGATCCAGTGAAGTATGGTGGGCAGCCCTGCAGCAGACATAGAGGTCACAAATTAGCAGTCACTGAGGTGACCAGCAGTAACTATCTACACATGTTGTACACTTTTCTCAGCTGTGTTTATGTTCTTGTTCATCTAAGTGTGCACAAACCACAGGCTCATGTAACCAATTTCACTTTTACAGTAAGTTACGGAACTCCTCGGGATTCCCAAGAAAGCGGTTTTTGCACTCATTATAACAGTCACACAGGATAAGAGTAACATTGACCTACAGACAGGATCTGTCACCAGTTTGGGGAATTGACCATTTTAGACTCCTGCATTTTAATATGAATCAGCTGGGGCACAGCAAAAACCATTTACATCTTGTTTATCACATACAAATAGATGTACATTGATCCAAGCCTCTTCTATCAAAATCTGGGGGATTTTCAGGGCAGGAGGGCTTGTATAAAACTAAGCAGGATTACTGAGCTCTTCTTATCTGCTGAAAATAAAAAGCAAACTATTTAGTGGACAAGGCAAATAAAACCTTGCAGGTAAGTTCAGTTTGTGAGTTTTGCAAGCCCACCACTCTACAGCACGTAGCATTCATATCAGCAGAAGAGTTCCAAGCTGAAGAGTGCTTTCTGACAACTGCTGGATGAAAGAAATAGTGTGGGCACATCTTTCTGAACACAGAAACTGCAAATTGCAAAGAAACTGCATCATTTGGCCAGAGAGGGAAAATTTTAAGCTTTGTGTTTATCTAAACACAATTTTACTTGGCCTTTTACAGAGACTCTATCTTCCCAGCGTAGTGTGGTTAATCAATACTACGACTCTGTCAAAAGGGGCACTACCATAAGAAGTACTACATTTCCTAGTGTAGCAGAAGACACCCTCTGCAGAACTTTTTGTTCTCACTCATCTGAAGACTCAAGAACTAAGCTTAGATTATTAGTCCAGGAATCTTAAGTACTCAATTGAATTTTACACATTATTTGGGAACCAAAAATAGTGTATCTCTACCAGAAACAATGTAACTATCTATTAAATCATGTTAACACAATGCTCTGGTTAGCTCACAACGGAAACTCCAAATGAAGACCTTCAGTAATTCCTGTTAAAAAGCACAAAATGGAAATCTAGTGTACAATATGCATTTCTGTTTGTCCTACTGAAGATCAATTCAGGTGTAACATTGAAGTATTTCAGAAATGCAGTGAGTTAATTTTGTTGGATTGACTTATGTGTCTGTTGTAAAAACTGTAAACTCTTAAAATGTTGGGGGTTGGAGCTAGATGATCTTAAGGTCCTTTCCAACCCTAACTATTCTGTGGTTCTGTGTTAATAGGCCCATTCTAGGATTCAAAAAAATCACTTGTTTCAATGGCCTAAGCAGATACTTATCAAGGCCAAGACATCATAGGAATAAGCAGCTTTGCATTCTAAAATCCATTTAAGTAAGAAAAGTCAAATGACTTCTATCCTTCTCAAAATCCTTGTGAGTTACTTAAACCATTCAAGTACATTCAAGTAACCTCACTGAAAAGCAGCATCTCTTCAGAAGAAGGAACAAGGTATGTGATAGATTCAAAACCCAAGTAAATAAAACACAAGCTGTTCTAACTGCAAAAACTTGAAGAGACTATGAAAAATGACATGTATAGTTGTAAAATTTGCAATAGCATCGATATGAAGCAGCTGAAATAAGAAGTTAATATAAATTTCTGACAGCATCTTGTTCTGTACAGTTCTTGTGTCTGAGCACTGAGTACTCTTCAGTTCAAGCAGAAATATTACACTTCTAGCTTTCTGCTAACTTCTTGGTTGAACTTCTGTTTTGTTCTAAAGGCAGTCTCTCAATACCCCTGCTGGAGAAGCATTGTGGCAAGTTTTAACAGATACCTAAACAAGACAAGGAAGCAGCTTAATACTGAACATACGTGTACCAGAGCTTGGGGTGGCGGCTCATGGAATGATTCTTCCCATTTGCTGGAGAGTCTTTTGTTGCCGATTTACTCAACAGGAACTCTTGAAGTTTCTGCTTCACTTCTGTACTGGCCACTGCCCCTAAGACACACAGAGTTAAACACATCTTATCTTTCCTTGAAAAAAACAAAACAAAACAAAAGCCAAAACATAAGAGCGAGCCCATATCTTACTGCTGGAAGTGTTGTAAACTATAAAAATACTGGTGGAAATCAGTCTAAATGAGATAACATTTGAATTAAATGCATGCCTGTAGAAGACTGAAGTTGGCCATAACCCAGCTATCCAGTGGAGTCATAAGGAATATTTCAACAGTTGCTGAGGTCATTTATCCAGGACCAGATGTATCTGAAGAATTTAAATTATTTCCTAATAATTCCCAAATACAAAACCAAGGATAGAACTAAAAAGACAATGACAAAAGGTCACTTGGAGTTTGCAGAAAAGAATGCATTTTTAATCTTTTAGTAAAGTAATAGCCCAGCAAAACTGCCCTCTGAACCGTGCAAAAAGAGACAGTAGTGAGCCTTTTTATTCAAGCCATTTGAAAAGCTTGTACCTGTGATGCCTAGAAGACAAACAACAGTCTGAAAAATGAGTCTTTGTTAATAACTCTACTCTTATGACACAAAACCAACAGAAAGACCAAAACACCAGGAAGACACAGTTCATTTTGACCTCTCTTGGTGGCTAATTCAATACAGTACAAGAAGTAGGGCATGCCAATTTCAGATTAAACTGCCAATTCCTACTTACAGCTTGGGACATGCTTCTTTACTAAGAGCCATATTAGTCTTCATAAAAACAGCACATGAAGAAAAAAAAATCTTTAGCCTTCCGTAAACAGTGAAAAACGGAAGAAAAAAACATCTCTTTCAAAATGGCATCACCAAGGGATATTGATACTGTAAATATTTGGTTACTCAACCCTGACACAGCACACCTAGGTGATGAGCATGTGCCCCTGTGACCTAGTTCCTATAAAATACCTCTATTACCCTTCAGCTTCAGACCCAACTCCCCTCCCTGCACCTTCGTTCCCTCCTCTACTCATTAAGTAGACCAGCAGCAATGCAAACACTGGGACTGGGCCTGGGGGTCACAAGTGCTGCTCGGCTGGCTGCTACATACTGAACAGCGACCCAGAAAGGCAAACTAAGATGGAAACCATTAATTTCACTGCTCCTCCTTTGGTGGGAGCACTAGTAAAGCCAGACTTTCATATGGAGGCTCATTTTTCATACCACTTACAGGAACCTTTTATTCCTGTAGTGGGTTGGTAATGCTTTCAAGTATTCATTATTCACCGAAGTACTAGAAGCATCATGGACACCTTAATTTCTAAAGCCTACAATATGGCACACCTACAGCTGTTGAACTGCTACATTTTTCCACCCAAGTAAAAGAGGCAAGAATGTAATGTACGGTTTTTTTCCTGCTTCAGTCTTTGCCAGTTAATTCTTGAGGTCATTTAGCAGGGCAAGTAACAATATCTGCTCATGGCAGCTTCATTTTGAATACCTTCATGATGTACTTCAACCTGATTTTTAAACTGACCTCACTAAGGAGAATTATTTGTATGTGTCTCCCTCTAGTGATCACCAAATCCCAGCAGCATACTTTGTCATTTGCCTTAGAGCAGTGTATGAACTAAAAATAACTTTTAGCTGGGATACATTAAAAGGCATCAAAACCAAACACAAGGTAGTTTGAAAAAGTACTAGCAAAAGTGTTAAAAAGTTTCAGCCAAAGACATTCTTAAATATTTTATATTTCCAACCTTCAAACAATATTTGAATTAGCATGTAATTTCTTTTTTTGTTTTGTTTTTTGTAGTGCTTTCTGCATTGGGAAATAACCTCTGCAGAAAGAAGTTCTCATGTGAAGCTTTAGGCTTTCAGATTCTCTCCTTATAAAAAGAGTTAGATTCTTGAGAGGCATATATACGGGTCTGTCAAAACGTGCTTTCCTGCATTCAGCCAAGTCTGCACATAACAACTATGAGTTTCTGTGATCGCAGGAGGTGGCCCTGCCTTTCTGCAAGCACAGCCTCGTCTTCTCTAGTTGTGTATTTTACACAGTAACAGGCTTGCTTCAGGTTCCTGTTCATGGTCTATTCTGTCTGAGAGAAAGCAAAGGGAAACAGATTAATTTCTTATTAGAATTCATGGTACATTGGCTCTCTTACTTTCTCGGCCTCTTTCTTTGCCTCGGAGGGGAGGAAGCTGTTGTTCCCTGCGATGCCTCTCCAGCTCCTGCTCTTGTCTCTGCTGCTCCAGTTTCTGCTCTTTTTCAATGAGTTCTTGCTGTTGTTTAATGGCTAGGAGTTCCTGTTGTAACTTGCACAGAACAAAAAGACATGAGAAAGTGCAGTTTGCACTGTTTTCTTGGTCACTCTTGGCTAAAACACCCCCCCTGAATAACTCAGTAACAGTGCCTGATTTTGTGCTTACACTTCTGTTCACCTCTTAACTGAATTTCCCCAGTCTCTGAAGCAGGATAGTGCATTACTGGCTGTCATAAAATGAACCCTAATGTCAGGTAGCAGCCTGCTGCTCTGGTTTCACTTCTTTCTCTTTTGGCAAAAATGCCTGGAAGCTTCACAAGGTTCTTTGCCAATGCATGACCCAACTCTGGCTGCTGTTCTCTGCTGCGTTTGTCAGCTCCACTGAGTGGAATCAGTACAGTAGCATAATGGCAAGTAGATCAGAAGGAAAAAATGAAAAGAAGGGCAAGATTGTAAATTCACAGTCAAAATCCATTATAGCAATCCTACTATAGGGCATGTAATCCCATAAATCATTTACTTTCTACATATTATGAGAGGCAGCCCAGAGAAGAGTGAAAACACAACACTCTCAGGGCCTGCCTCCATTTTACAAATGCAGATATTATGCACTTGCCCATCAATCTGATTTGTGGTCAAAAACTCAAATAGTAGCTCAAAAAAAGCAGTCTCTTAATATACTCAAAACCTGCACATACAGGAAAGAAAGCCATATTGAAGTCTGGCTGAAAAAACAGGTTTGTAAAATAGGTTGTTTGATTTTCTGAAGACGTGGTGGCTTCACAAGCTTGATGATTCTCATAGTACTGCCTTGGTCTACTGTTAGCAACTCACTGGTAGGTGCTAGCAGTTTTGCTTGAAAAGGATTTTATCACCCAAATGCAGAGAAATAAGCACTCAAACACCATCTCTCAGTCACAGCCAGCCTTTCAGGCATGTTCCCTTTTCATGCCTGTCTAAGCATATTCAGCTTTCAGATAAGCAAGGGATAAATGAAAAATGTTGCTACCTTAATGTGCTCCTGGAGCTGGGCCTGATGCTGGCGGGTCAGGTTTTCATGCTGCTTCTGAAACTCTGCAATCAGCAGTTGTTTCTGAATTTGCTGCTGCTGCTGGATCAGAAGTAGCTCCTGCTGTAGCTGCTTTTCACGCATAATTGGGTCCACCATAGGAACCATCATCCTGAGGTCAGTTCGCAAGTCTAATGGTGAGATAGGCTCTAATCCCACGGCAACCTCTGGCTTCACATCCACTGTGGGAAGAAAACAACAAAACATACACATATATAACTGGAGAAGGAGAATAGAGATCGTTCCCGCTGGGGAAAAGACCAATTTAAATCAAAGACTTCTTCAATGTATAGACCTAACAAAATACTAAGGCAATGCAAACTTCAGACATTCCTGCTAGCAACTGGAGATTTTACAAATGATCTTATCAGTTTTTTTCCATCCTCTGCATAAAATACTGCCTGATTAACATCCTGCTAAGCAGACTAACAAGTAACCCAGTTCTAAAACCATGTCTCAGCCTAACAGAGCAACGTTTAGTGAGAAGCTCTTAGGTATTATTAATGCCTCACAATAAAGGCAGGGCACTTCTTCAGTGTCAGATGACAACCTTCCAGTTTGCACTGCATTACAAGAGATTTTCCAAAGCCAGTGTGTAGATTTTCTGAGGTTGGTGTTGCACATGAATAGCTACACAATGTGACAGAGCTACTGCATGTAAATATACATAGGAACAACACATATAAAATTAGGAAATAAAAAAATAATTTGACACAAACCAAGAAGTTTTAATACAGCTTTTTGGAAAGGAAACACCATGCTTGGTTTAGACATAATACACTATACACAGTAAGAAAATAAAAATGTCTTGAATTATTCCATTTGTTGCAGCAAGGGAATACATTGTTAATCCAGCATTAAAGTCTTTAATGAAGAATCCTGTTTCCTTCTATCTATTTTAATCAAAGGAACTAAATAGCAGCAGAAGAGAGAGATTTGATGATTTTCAATACAATACATGTAAAGCTCAGGTTTTCACACCTACTGAAGACAGACTGCAGCTTTATCTGTTTCAAAAGAACAAAAAAACTAGCAAGCAACATTTCTACAAGAGCAAAATAAACAGTAGCTGAGGGTCTCTGCTGAAGTTCAGCAGTTCTGATTCCATCCACGAGAGGACAGTGGAACACAAACACATCCACTCTTGCTACTGCTCCCCTATCTTCTTTGGAAAGCAAGATTATTAACTGAAAACAAACATGCTGTCGCAAACGACTAGAGAACAAGATTTAAAGCATATTTTGTCCTTTTGCTCTGCTACCACTGTATCTGTTTTCAAGGAGAAGACCAAAATGAAACAAATATTCTAGCAAGCAGTAAAATCGCAGCAGCAAAAGTTGAAACTGCAGCAAAATGGAGAACTGAACTGTAACTGTAGGATCAAATCTATTAGTAAAGAGTTTTATAACACAAGAGACAAGATACCAATGTCTTCTGCCGAACATATTCTTCTAAAAAAAAAAAAAAAGAATCTGGAAACATAAAATTTTCTGCGTTGTTTTGGTTCTTTTTATTTTATTTTTAATACTAGTCACCGTTATTGTAAACCTTAGAGTATAATCTGCCTTCTTAACCTGCTATTCCAACAGAATGATTGTATCTAAGTGCTTACTTTTGTTCTGAGACTAATCACTGAATTACAAAAAATCACCTTTAACTTAACAAAAACTACTTGTGATTATAAATAATTGCCACAAACCAAGAGAAGTGGACAGGCAAACCCCCAGCTTTTCATCCATTTATTCAGCAGCAATCCACATTCCATTTGTCTAGACTAAATATAGCCACGTTTATACAAGAAATCTATAGTGCTTGCAGAAAGCAGAGCAAAGACATGAATATTTCATCAAACTCAGAGAGAAATGGCAATCAGCAAATTGACAGCAAACCGTGTAGGCTGACTGGCCCTCCAGATAAGTCTCCAGTACTTGGACAATGGCTCATTGCCTGCAAGTCACAATCTTATCATCAGTGCTCTATTTTTAACATTAATTGCACTGTAGGTGACAAAGGCTTATCATGTTTAAAGTGGAGAGACGGATTTTCTTACATATTCTGTGACAGGATAATAAGCCTTACTAGAAGAAGTAATAGTAACTGGAGCTCAGCAAACCCTGCAGGGTCTGGTTTGCAATAGTGTTTGCAAACTAAACCCTGCAGGGTTTAGTTCAGAATAGTGTTTGCACTGCAGTTTTTTCCACAGATACTGGCTACAAATCCACCCCTACAAGTCTGCATGTTGATTCAGGCTGATTATACTTCCTATCTCTGATGAGCATCCCACTTCTTCATTTTCAGAGCACTTATGCATGAGGGCTGGCCTCCAGTTTTTTCCAACAATGGACATTTCCTTCTGCTATTAGTAAAACGTACAACTGAAAGCAGGCTCAGCCTGGTGAGATTCACATTTTCAAGAATTTTTACACACTCAGATAATAAATCTGGTTCTGGAATATCTATTTCATCGAGTTCAACCTTACCTTAACCCTTAACATGGGAGAAAATAAATATTATGGTAGTTCTAGACTGAATCCACAGAAATCAATACATGATCTCTAATGTCACTTAAATGCCAATGTTTACTGACAAATAAAGACAAGCATTTATTTCCTGGCATAACTATTGCGAGCAAGAAGGTTACCTCCCCAGTGCTACTAATAACTGCTGACATAGAGAATACTAACTTCTGGGGGTAACTACTGTCTTAGAACTGTAATAGCTAATAGTTGGCTGAATAGTCAACCTCATAAACAAGGAACTATAAAATCATCAATCAAACCAAATTGTTTGCTACTGTCTGTTAGGTGGTCTTAATGCCACAGGACATTTACAGTCTTTTTACTTGTTACCAGCTGACAAGAAAGAGACAAAGCAGCCTTGTGAAGCTACACCAGTGTGAAAAATGTGTAATGGAGCAGAGAATCAGAATTAGTGTCTTTAAAAGCTTTGACTTTCAGCTGAAGCATCTTTCCCCCCACCACTACCCCAATGCAATTTTAAGTCTCAAAAGAGCAAAGTTGATGCAGGATGTTTATTCTCATCAGGGCTTTTCATGTTTTCTCACCACTCCCCCCAACAGATATATGTATTTTTCAGTAGGAAAGGAATGCTCTGATCAGTTCCCTCAACTTCCGAACATCATGAGAAGCAGTGGGATGCAAGACTATAACAAAAGGACTTGTCAAGACATTAGCCAAAGGAGGAAAAGAATGGATAATGAAAGAAAATATTAATCAGAACTTGATGAAGACTAACTTCACTTTAAGGAGCCTTGTTCTGCAGGATTTCCAGTATCACCACTGGAGGGAGGCTGTAGTAGGTACAATTCAAAGTGGGAACCTGCCGGCACTCTCCCCACTGCAGTCTGGAGCAGATCCTTCCCTACAGCTCTGTCAACTACACAGCAAGCCAGGGATTCCTCTGTAAGGTTAAATAAAAGACAAGCTCTTTGAGCTCTTGTCAGCTGCAGTGAATACAACAGTAGGCTGCAGAATATTAACTAAAAACGTTACTGAAAACTTGGTGATTTCAGGAAACATGCCAAAATTTGAGTAGGAAAATATTTAGTTTTCAGATACAACACACTGCAAAAGGCATATGTATTTATTTTTCCTATAAATACTTGATTGCCTTTATCTTCAAACACAACAACAAAAATAGGCTCAGAAGAGCAGCCATATCAGTTGTAATCCATAGACGGCACTTCCCGCAGCGCTTTTGACATTTTGTGGAAAGAAAATAAGATACTTGTAAACCAGCATGCTTGTTGAGTAGGTTTAGATGCTTGAAGCACACATGAAAAGAGATAGAAGAGCTTGGTTTAACCCTGAGGCTTTGCTTTTGGAAACCATTTCTTAAAATGGAAATAGCTGAAAAACTGTAAATATTCCACTGAGAGGTGACATTTCAAGCTTTGTTTTTCATGACTACTTTCAATTTCTGGTACACTAGAATACACAAATCTTCCAACAGCACACTTTCTTAACATCATATCCCAAGAGAGGTAATTGGTTTTTATTGACAGTTATCTTTCTTTGCAGACATTTATGCCATCTCTAAAAACAGGAAATTAAGGTATGCTGAAACCAGCTGAAGAGTCACCATTCATTATTCGAGATGCAATGATGAAGAATTGTAGTAGACTTGCTTACCAGAATATTGCACTTAGGACACTGACAATTCTTACATTAAAGGAACTATGTGAATTTGCTAGGACTTCAGGGGTTCAAGCTAACTTTTTCCCAAAGGCATTTCTCAAGTTAGGCTGTTGGGCTGGGATAATAAAAATGGCTGGAGAGAGGAACATGGTGTGAAGCCAGTAAGGGTCTTTCTCCTGCCTTGGTCATCCAAGGCAGCCTTTTGCTGGAGAAGCCATTAAGTTTTATGAAGTGAGCAAGGAGGGCTACAAAATTTGGAATGCTAAATTAAAATTACATGTGACAAGAGACAGATGACAAGCTCCTCCAACCAGCAATTCCAGTATTAGGCAATAAAAGCATATTCCTGAAACCACACCAAACCAAGTAAAATCTGGAAGAATCATTCTGCCAAGAAATGGCCACACCTTACCCCAGGCATCAACTTGGTGAAATATTATAAAGAAAAGAGAGAATGGGAGAACTGTTTATACTAGTGGTACTCTTTTGAACTCTGCTCTACAAAACAGAGCCCACCTAAAGTTATTACTAACTTGCACAGTACTTTTAATTGTTTTCATATGCTTTTCATAAAATGAAAACAAACCAGAACAGTTTCACACATTTTTATATAAAAGAAACTGCCTCTATTTGGTTTCTTCATTCAAAGAAAGTGAAAAAAATTTCCTTTTTGCAGGATTAGCCACGAGTCAGTCATGACATACATAATCAGAGCACTACAGAATTTACAGAAAAGAGATCTAAATGTTTCTGACCAGTGTCTCTGAACATAGATTGAAAAAGTCTTTGAAAAGATTAAAAAATGAAGTACCATAGGAGGCTGAAAGTTGCAGGAATAAGGAACAGACGCTAAGAGGCGGCAGGTGAGACACAAAGTAACTTGCAGGACATGGGGCAGAAAAGGACTGGCCAAGCAATAACACACAAGCAGCTGCCCAGAGATGGAGCACAGGAAAAGGAGTTAAAACTTCTGAGCTTTCTTCACCAAGAAGCAGCATTACAGGAGCATTGCTCATTCTGTAATC